GATGATTCCCTTCCTCGGCAGAGATTTGGAGGATCTAATCAGGGTAGGCCTAATGACTACTAAAAGTATATTAATGGTTTAATCATTCAAGCACCGTAATTTACAGAGGATATGAACAATAAAACAAAGTACTGAGTTTTCAGCATGATGATGTTTGTAGAAAGTATTATAAATACTGTAATACTTTTTCTAATTTTGTTTATAATTATTATGCTTGTGCTATTCTATTTTCAGAGCCTTCTCAGACGCTTCATAAAGCGAGACGTCCAGGTTGATGTTTCCCCAGCAAAGCTGGTCAAGCTTGATGTGACAGACCAAAAGCTTTGGGTCAGTCCAAAGCAAGTGTACATTGGCATGGGAGCCACAGCTGCCCTCAAGGTAATATTTATCTTAAAATACTTTATCATTGTGCTATATGAGCTGCAAAGTCACTTGACTAGTGAAGTATTTATGTTGAGAAATAAAGAGATCAGTTTAATTGTTTTGACATCAAGCAGTTGACCTTTTAATTGGATCTGTCAAATGTTGTGTAGTGTAAGTTACACATAGGGAGAGTTTATTTGATGTTTCAGGTGATGTGACTTTTGTGCTTTTGTCAGGGAATGTCAGGCAGTCAGAGTGGTGGAAGTGAGCGTGAGGTGCTACTGTTCATGCGAGACAGCCAGAGTGCCCTGTCAAAAATTTGTCAGAACATTTTATTGAAGTGCCCCCTGAAGTACCCCTCTGTCCGAAATATGATGTGCCTGGACCCCCAAAATATGCACAAAGAACCTGACATGTGCCAGCAAAAAATTAAGGCCCTCATCATGAAATTTGTGCAGGATAAGAAGCTGTCAGGAGGAGTCACAGCGGGTAACATCTTTAGACATATCAGAAATGTGAACAATTAGCCTAGTGTTTATCAAAGGGAGTCTTATTTTAGGTATCATACTAGCCTATTATTTTGCAGTTCATTTTTGTTTTATTTTATTGGAAATACAGCCTAGTATGAGTTATAATAAATGTATGTAGGCCTAATATATGTTCTTAGACATAATAATTGAAATATAGTTAAAAATATGAGATGCATTTTCCAGAGTATAGTGAAAATAAATCTCTTGTGACAACAAAGTATAATTTTAACTAGAAAATATTACAGATGTGCTTGTCTTTATCTAAATGCAGGTGATAAGATTGCCCAACAATTTCAGAAGTTCCTCTTCAGTGAGGCCAGAGGAGAGGAATTCATGGCCTTCAGTGCATTGGATGGAAAATTGCGAGTTGACAGCTTCCTGCATAAGGCCATGAATGGATATGCAGAACTTTGGAGCTTTGTGGAAAAGCTGCTGCTTCTGTCCCATGGACAAGCTACTGTGGAGCGTGGGTTCTCCATAAATAAGGAGGTGGAGATGTGCAATATGAACGAAGACACTATAGTCTCACAGAGATTAATCTGCGACTATGTGAGGATGTGTGGTGGAGTGATCAAAGTGCCTCTAACTAAAGAGCTGCTAAATGAGTGTGCATCTGCACGCAACCGGCACAGGATCTTCTTGGAAGATGAGAGGAAGAAAAAGGAAAAGACAAAACAGATGATCAAGAGAAAAGGGTTTGAAGATGAGCTTGAAGAGCTACACAAGAAAAGAAGAACAATCTCAACTGTGTGTGAAACTCTAGAAAAGGATGCAGATGGCCTTGCAGAGAAGGCTGAGAATACAGCAGGGACCAAGATGGCAGAACTTATCACTAAATCCAATTCCATGAGAAAAAGATGCAAGGAAAAGAGAAGGGAGTTGGTGGACCTAGACCATGAAATTGAGAAGAGAGCAGCAGAGCTGCGCCACATGTCTTGAGGAGAATTTGGGATGTTACGAAACAAAGGGTTTCTCTCAGTAAAAGTCATGTAATAACATTTGTGTTTTCTAACAGTTATGTAGATTATTTGTCAACTTTTTGGCTTGTGAAAGGCTGTGTTGAGGACATTATTGAGCTTATTTTCAGTATTCTAAATGGTTCCTTCATACAAGGCATTGTGTTGTTTAGTGTAATCTAACTTATCTGTTACGTTGGCTCTGTTCTACATCACAAAGGAACAAAAAATAAAAAAGGTTTCAAAGAAAAGTATTTTTACTTTTTTTACTTACCGAGTTTACACATTTCACATAATTGATACCAAATGGAAAGCTTTTAAGTTTTGATTTCCATTGTAGGAGGCAATAAATTGAGTAGCCTATTCCAAAGAAATCTTGACATTTTTGGGTCTTAAATTATATTTGTTGAGGTCTTAAAAAGGTCTTAAAAAGCATTAAATTTTACTTTTAAAATGGTGCAAGAACCCTGTCAAGAAGTAAATGAGATATCTTCACCAAACTTGGTACACATGTGTATGAGGACAGTCTGGGGTCACAGTAAAAAAAAACGCGTCGATCTATCACTAGGTGGCGCTATAACATTAAAAAAACATAAAAGGGGGTGTGGCCACCTGACCGTTAGTCCGATTGACTTGAAATTTGGTATGCAGTGTCTTGGACCAAGGTACCATGTATGTGTAAAAGGATATTGGCGTATCTAAAAAAACATGGCCGCCATCGGCCAATGAAGTTTGAGCACCTGTGAGATGAGGTTAACGGAGGCCGATCGGAACGAAACTCGATGGGCATGTTCGACTCATGGCCCAAGAGGTCTGTAAGAGTTTTGAAAGAAATCGGCCACTAGTTGGCGCTAACGAGTTTTACGGCTCTGTAATCACGTGGTGTTGCACACATCCCCACAATATGCATATCATTTGATAGATCTCCTCATGTTGAACAACCTTGCCTCTAGAACCATTGCTGTCAATCAAACCGTTCATTAAATATTCACGAATATGTTAAAAACCTACTTTTGCGAACTAGTCCCTGGTTTTTCGCTCCGATCGGAACCAGACCAGTCTAGGACAATTCTCTGGACTCTCTAGATCAATAATTATCGAAAAAAAGTTGAACTTTTTTATTTTTCTCATTGTATTAAAGGGTTCTTTAGAAAAGGGGCGTGACAAAATGCACCCAAAAGCCTATAAATCCTAAAGGAAAACTCAGAACTTCACAAAAATTGATGAGCATATGTGTCATAACAGGCTGAAGAAGCATGCAAAGTTTCATGGAGATCGGACTATAGGTGGCGCTATAACTGTTAAAAAGCTTTAAAACCATATATTTCCTATATGGTAAATTGCCTGTATTGGCTGTAAATGGTGTTTTCCATCTATGATCATATAATGTTCATATCATAATGTTCTAAACCAGTGCAGTACAATTATCTGGACTTTCTAGATCAATAAATATTAGAAAAGGTATAACTTCTTTATTTGGATGGCTATAAAGGGTCACTTCAATATGTAGCCTTGACCAAATGTCACCAAAAGCCTAAATCTCTTCAATGAATGCTCAGATCTTTTTAAAAACATCTCAGAACATGTGACCTATCACTCTAAACAAGCATGACACATTTCAGACAGATCGGACAAAATATGCCTCTATAACAATTAAAAAGGTGAAAATGATATGAACAATGGCATATTAAGCCATTCATATGTATATAGACACTATAAAATCACTTATATAACAATTACTATTATAACACATTCATATTTTGTCAGAGTTTATCACTTCAATTGTTCTTATGCTTCATATAATTGCTATCAACGTGGTAAATCATGGTAAATAACGCCAGAAACATGGTAAATCATAGTAAAAAAGGTAAATCATGCTAGAATCCTGGTAAATTATTCTAGAATGTGCTATATATCATGGTAAATCATCATATAACATGGTATATCAAGGTAAACTATGGAAAATCATGTTAGATTCATGGTAAATCATACTGGAACATGGTAAATCATGAAAAATCACACTGAAATGTAGTATATCATGGTAAATCATGCTTGCTACATAAAACTTAATGTCTTTTGATGCTTAACGGCCTTAAAGGCCTTAACTGCTTGAACACCGCTAAAATGCTGCTTGCAGCTTTAATTTTAAATTGGAATTTCTCTGAAATTAAAAATCTTTGGGAACTTTCGGGATATTGTAAGTGCACAACTGCAGGAAATATATCACACTGTGCAAGTGATTTTGGGATATTTTATTACAAAAATCGTACATATTGTACCTTTAATGGCGCAAATCTAGCACAAACGAACTGCACTAGTAACTATTTAGACCGCATGGGATAAGGAGTGACGTAACTGTTTAAAAAAATATTTTAGAAGAATTTATTTTAGTTACAGCTAGATTTTCTTTAAACCGTCTCAAATCTAGCACCGATTTGGAGCAATTTTGATGGCATGGGGTGGAGACTGCCCCGAAATAGCCTTTATTTGCTTTTTCTAAGAAGGGGGAATGCAATGTTCATTTGAATGGCACAAATCAAACACAAGCAAATGGCTCCGTTTCGGAATGTATTAGATGACATGGAGTGGAGAGTGGGGTTTTTCGTCATATTTAAGAAAGGGGCCATAGTTGCAGGTTTTTTTTTTAAACCCTTCAAACCCTCAAGCTGCACGGGACAGCCTAGAGCTTTACATAATTCATGTGCAGCAGAGAGGAGTGATTTTCCCAGGGGACACAATGTGTTGGGCAAAAACTTCTCAGCAGTTCTGCTTTCAAGAGTGTGAGTGTTTGTGGCCTCACATTTAGAAAATATATGGCTGATCTATGTCTTTTAACTAAAACTGCTTCAAACTTCAATCTTTTTTTTAACTACTTAAAAATGTAGGCTCTCTCAAGTCTGACTTGATGAACTTTTTCATATAGTTCTAGAGTTACAATTTGGTAAGAATGTGCAATTTCAAATTGAATCTCCATTTATTGTAAATAGCATGCCATTGTGCACCTTAGTGATACCACATATCTGATTAATATGTCTTTCTCCACAACATGTGGCCCTCAGTGACTCACTCATACACATATACTGTACCTATTTTCTTCAATGCAGAAAATCTAGTGGGTTTTCATCAACTCTTCTTCTTGTCTCTTCCTCAGGCATATGAGAGGAGGTTTCCCACCTGTCATCTGATTCCCATGTTTGTGGACAGTGATGTGATCGATGAGGAAAACAGTGAGGATGGATCCATTCATAAGATTGAAAGAAGGTGTAAACTGGACGTGGATGCACCACGACTCCTAAAACGGGTAAAATGAAAACCCCGAAAACAAAATCCCTTCCCTTGCTCTCAGTCCCCCCTCATGTTTTTTAAAATTTTTTTTATTTTTTTAAAGCTGTAGTCCGTAGCTTTTTTGGGGTTAAAAATTATCCAAAATACATATTTGAGAAAATACATAACCAGCCAGTGTTCAAAACTCTCTGCTTGCCTTAGCTCGATTCAAAGCGGTAAGCTTGTAATAATGTTTTTAATTCCAGTGGTACTGGTGGATTTCCGCGGGAGATTCGAGCATGTTTTTGCGTCATTACGTCACATCTGTACGCATAAAGGAGTCTCGGCTAGTAGGCTATATTGCGTGTGAGGATGTTGGAGGTGGAGATTTATAGCCTTTTCTCACAGCACTTGATATAATTAAACTTATCAATTTGATGGCGGATCCTGAAAGGTTCAAACGACAATCACCAGTTACAACAGATTCACCCGCTGTAAAATGCAAAAGACTTCGTTCGGACTTCGGAGTGGCTACAGAAAAAAAGAGACTGCAACCAGACCCATGCGAAAACAAGAATACATATCGGAAGGACATTACATGTGGTCACGCAATGCTTGCTTACGTTGTTAACATTAACAATTTGAGAACAAAGTATAATTTGCACGGTTTTGCATGATATGATAATTTCTAAGCGATTGTTAGATTCAATCAGCGCGATTTACTGCAATGTCAGAACCAGAACAAAAGTGGATGTTTCTTACTAGTTCAGATGACATTTTCCGGTGAAAATTCTTATGTTGGTCATACTTCCAAAAAGAATAATCTGTGATTCTGAATGCCAGTATCCACATCGGCGCGGTGACTGACAGCTGCACAGCACACTCTCCTCAAACATTGTGTTCATCCGCGCTGTGCCGTGTCGAGGGTGTTGAAGTACAACTCACGTAAAGTTGATAATTCCGCGAATGACTGCAATTGCAGATTTCGAACAGAGATGGCGACAAAGAGGAAAAACGCCGGACTGCAGCTTTAAATAACATTTGTCTACATTGCCTAAAACGTCTGCTTTGCTTTGACTGTCTGTAAAGGTTAGAGTATGTGTTAATGTAAGATATTCTCTTTCTCTCTCTCTCTCTCTCTCTCTCTCTCTCTCTCTCTCTCTCTCTCTCTCTCTCTCTCTCTCTCTCTCTCTCTCTCTCTCTCTCTCTCTCTCTCTCTCTCTCTCTCTCTCTCTCTCTCTCTCTCTCTTCTCTCTCTCTCTCTCTCTCTCTCTCTCTCTCTCTCTCTCTCTCTCTCTGTGAGTGTGTAGATTGCAGGTGTGGACTATATCTACTTCATTCAGAAGAACTCCCTGAACCACAGAGAAAGAACTCTTCATATTGAATCCCACAATGAAACCTTCTCCAGCAGAGTCATAATCCATGAACTTTGCTGTTACTCGGTGAGAAAAATCACCCTCACATCTCAGATGTGCTGTGTTAAGCACATGTCATTAGCAACTTTAATTTGGTTGTATAATATAATTGGACACCCACACTTAGCACCTTGGTATTGCTAAATTTATGTATATATATTCCTTAGGCAACAAATTAAATGGCAAAGAATAAAAAAAAATGTTTGCGACCTTTCAAACTGTGACATAGCTTCAGTCCCACAATTTTTTTTGTTATTATTATTTATTTCATATTGGATGAGCGGAGTCTGTGTTATGTTGTAAATGGCTTATATGAGAGAGAGAGAGAGAGAGAGAGAGAGAGCACAAGTGAGTAACCTAATATTGAAGCTTGTTGGTTTAATTAATTGTAACTGAGTGGGAAACCAAAGTTTTTCCAAACTTGCGATCTTAAAGAGGCCGGCGGGTCCTCTAACTCTTGTGGGTCGCCACCACTCGCCATACTCGTCCTTAGTGCTGCTATCTCTGACTCACTCACTGGACCGTCGTCGACCTGACAAAAAACTGCATACATAGGCGGAGCTCGCCTAGGCGGGGCTACAGATTATGTGTCCCTAAAGAACCCGCATATCTAACAGTAGTTCCGCATTACATTAATTAATTTGCAAACGAGTTTTATTTATTTTTATACCGTGTATTCTCCGTGTAAATTCATGCACCGAACCGTGACGCCCGTACCGTTTCGGTTCAATACGAATACATGTACCGTTCCACCCCTAATTTATATATATATGGCTGAGGGTCATTCTTGTGTGCATGATGGAAAATAAATGATGAGTGAGTTAATAGGGTCAGATCCTCTGAGCCCTCTTTAGAAGATTCTATTTTTGGGAGTGTTATAGAGGGAGAAGCTCTGAGGAATCACTACCTCAGGGTACCCTGTAAAGTTAGCCAGTGACCTAAAAATATGACTGATTAAACATGTCTCACATACTAATGATTTGTTCACATTGCATACAGTTCATAGATTTCTGATTTGTTTTTTTTAACTTTAAGATTGACTGTCCAGTGTGTTCTTTTAGTCAGAAGTTATTTTGTGTGTTCTTTTTTTTCCCAAGTAGTGTAGTGAGTACCAAGCATTTCTTCATCAGTTGTTATAGTAGTAAAGCGTTAGCTGTGACGATTTGTCAGTATGAGAGATTTTTTGGGGGGTTGTCGATCATGCTAGTTTTTCATACTGCTAAACCAATGAGACAACTTAAGTGAGGTTGGGAATCGAAAATCAATTCCAACTCTGGAATCGGATACTTAAGGTCAGGAGTCAAATACTTTTAATAAAATTTCAATTTTTTTTCTCCCGATTCCGCCTATTGATTCCTGTGTGCGCATTTTAATGTGATTTCAAACCATTTTGAAGAGGCGTACTCTGTTTTCTCTCTGCACACATACAAAACACATACAAAGCGCACGGAAAGAGACCCGCCTCTTATATAGAGCGTGATACTGAATTGAGTTCTCCTACTTTTCTTCTTGCGCTTGAATGCACAAATACACACAAAATTGTCAAAATATCCTCGTAAACAGTCGTTTTTGTCTTAAGTTTAGAAAGAAAAAGCATGTGTAACAGTTTATTGGCTCCTTCATGAGATCTTAGTGACAGCACCCTAATAAATCTGCTGTAGTCTATGTAATAAACATTAATCAAAGAACAAAAGAAAAAGAAAATCACTCATTGATCTTGACTGAACAACTTTTGTAACTTTAAGGTTCATTCTATATTTTATTTTGAAAAAGAAATCTATGCAGTTATTTTACATTTGATTACAATTTCTGTACCTGAACTTTGTTCAGTTGTATTTATTTGTGCTATTACTTGTTTATTTGTTCTTATTTTATTACTGTTTACTTCTTTAATAATGTAAAAATGTAGACAGAATAAATATGTTTGATATAAATGTTTGACTAAATGTTTTTACCTTACTGGAATTAATAAGAACCGGAATCGATAAGCAGAATCGGAATCTCTGAAATTCAAATGATACCCAACCCTAAACATAAGCAACATTGCCATTGAATTTCAGTCTGTAAACTGTGGGGGAAAAGTGAGTGAAAATTAACTATAGACAATTTGATGTTGTTGATATCATATACATGTATCTTATATCTGAACAAAATCTACTTATTACGTATTTTGGAATTCAAACTGCAAAAAATGAAATGCTGCCGGTCTGAACAGGCCATAGTTTGTAAAATATTTAATTATTGTGTATTGTGGCAATTTAACAAAGTTGGCATGTCTGTTGTCCAATGTTAGGTTCACCCAGAAAATGAAGAATGGACGTGTTTTGAACAATCTGCCAGTCTGGACATCAAATCTTTCTTTGGTTTTGAGAGTACAGTAGAGAAGATTGCCATGAAACAGTATGCCAGCAGTATCAAAAAGGTGTAAAGTCACGCCCACCACTGCCTTCTTCAAAAATACATACACATGTTGGTTTTATTTTTTTGTTAGTTTATCGATTTATGAGCATTTCACATAAAGACTACTTCAGAAGTTCTCACAAATCAGTTTTTGTCATATTAGTGAGGACATTTTCAAAAACTTCATTGCAATATTATGTTTGTCGTAGGTTCAGTTCATTCAAAGAAGAAAATGTAGCCTTCTATAAATAGTAGTAGTTGCCTTTCTCAAATGTGAACGACATGTTCTTATCTCTCTATAGGGTAAAGAGATTATTGAATACTATCTGAGGGAGCTGGAGGAAGAAGGTGTTACCCATTTACCTCAGTGGAGCCCTTGCCTAACATCACCCACAAAGCCTATGGTGTCAGTTGTTCACCCTGTGTTGCCTATCACTCCCACAATCACCATTGAAGCCCCTCCTGAGAGCATGAATGAGACTCAAGTGTGTAAAGAGGGCAGCAGTCCTCCTGGTAGCCTAAACGACGCCTTGGTAACCAGTCAGGATGGTTAGTATTTACACTGTTGCCACTCTGGGGACCTTTTGTACTTGATACTACTAGAACATTGTATTCTTGGCTTTTCTTTTGTACTTCGTCTCTAACAATTCACAAACAAAACACATCTATACAACAAAGGAAGCAAGCTTCTGTTTATTAAAAAAAAGTTTACACACTGAGCTTAATTCTTTCTTAACTTTTTTTTTAAGGTATAGTGGATGTAAATGGTTTCAATTTGTATTTTTAGATAAACTGGATGCAGACTACATCAAACGTTACCTGGGTGACCTCACACCCCTCCAGGAGAGCTGTCTCATTCGCCTACGCCACTGGTTACAGGAGACACACAAGGGCAAGGTGAAATTTATACATATTCAAGGTTTCTGAATTTACAACTAGTAGTAGATTAACAGGGATCCATTATGCAAAATTCACTTTTACATGGTGTTTGAACATAAATGTGTCGGCAGTGTGTGTACACAATAGGGGTTGAACGACCTCCAATTTTTTTAAGTCGACATTTATGTGATAAGTCAAGTCGACGTCAACTAGTCACTAATGACTTCATTAATGAACAAATAAGCCTGAACCTTGAGCTTAGACTGAACGCGGGTTGCTTTATGCACAGCTATGGCATATGACACAGCGCTCTCCACAAGGCTATTGGACAATTCCACGCAAAAGTCATCCTTACCATGAAAAAATAGTTTTTACCAAAAGATAAAAACCCTTTTTAAGTTGCCAATTTAGGTCTGCAATATACTGTATTAATGTGCTGTATCAGATATTAAAGGTCCCTTGACATGAAATTTTCACTTTCTGAGGTTTTTTAACATTAATATGAGTTCCCCTAGCCTGTATATGGTCCCCCAGTGGCTAGAAATTTCAATCGGTGTAAACCGTTTGAGAAAATGAAAGCTCAGAGGAGCTGATCTTGAATCTCCTCCGTATGACGTCATACGGAGGAAAGGTAACCTCCCCTTTCTCTGCTTTGCCCGCCCAGAGAATTTGGCTCGCCCATGAGAAAATGAGCTAGGAAGTACGAATGCACGAGCGCGATTTGAGTTTTTCATCGAGAGATATCATTGCTTGCAAACGAGCGAAGCATGGCAGCTGATCAGTGTTCGGATGTACAAATGAACACAAAAGTATTTTTTTGTTCCTTCATCCGAGCCTCTGAAGAAACAATGGGTTAATTTTATTTTCTCTGGAAATGCGCCGACACAACTTCCCAAAGTTTTGTATGGTCCAAACATTTCACCGACGACTGTTTCCTCATCGTTCAATACTGTTTATGCATAAGTCAAGCCAGTGACTAAAATATCAACTTCACATCGTTTCTTTTAGTAGGATGAAAATAATCTTATTTAAATTGTGAACAAATTATATACAAAAAGCGACCAAAGAACAATCTTTCCACACAGCGCGAGTTTATCTGGACAACTCGTTATGAAATCAATGATGCACGTTACACTGCACAACGAAGGTCTTACTGTATGTACATCGTGTTTGCATTGGTGAAAGCATTAGAGAGAGTGCAGAAACTGCGTTGCAATGATAAGATCTTCATTCTCGCGATCAACAGACTGTCATCTGCTTGCTCAATGCTCATCACGGCAACATTCCATCATTCCAACATTCCACATCAACATGCCGCTGAAGATTCAGACAACCCCAAGGGTTCCATAATCTTTGGTTCCATCCAGTCCTTATCCTCAGAACTGGCCAATATCTGGTCGACATGTCTGCGCACAATGTTGCCACCTCCTAACATGACCTTGTAAGAGACAGGACCTGTTATCTTGATAATGAACCCGGGAATCCACTTAGGTCCATGACTGAAATTCCTTGTGATCACTGCATCTCCCTCCTGGAAACTTCTCCCGGAACCTTGCTTGTCATGATGTTTCTTTTGAAAGCTCTGTTGCCGTTCCACCCTCCTTCGGCGGTCCGGATGAATAAAGTCTAATGTCGATCTCAACTTCCTGCCTTGTAACATTTCAGCAGGCGACAGCCCCGTAGTGGACTGTGGTGTAATGCGGTAACTAAACAACACCCTTGATACTTTAGTGGCTAGGCTTCCCTCACCTGCCTTCTTCATCATCGCCTTGAATGTCTGGACTGCACGTTCAGCACAACCATTAGAGGAAGCATGATAAGGAGCAGAAGTGATGTGTTCGATCCCATTCTTCTGCATGAACTCTCGGAATTCTGTACTCACAAAACATGAGCCGTTATCGGACACTATTGTCTCCGGTATTCCTTGATTGCTAAAGCTCTTCCTTAGACATTCAATCGTGCTGGCTGAAGTTGAGGTCGTTACAGGGTACACATCCATCCATTTGGAATGCGCGTCCATCTGAACCAAAAACATGTGTCCCATAAAAGGTCCTGCATAATCAACATGTAACCTTTGCCAGGGTTTGCTCGGCCACTCCCAGGGATGAAGAGGTCCTGGAGCTGGAGAATTACAATGTTCTTGGCATGCTACACATCTTTTAACGACTGCTTCAATGTCTGCATCTAACTTTGGCCACCAGAAGTAGCTTCGTGCTAATGCCTTCATTCTAGTGATGCCGATGTGACCGTGATGTAGCTGCTGTATCAAGGCGTTCCGGCCTGGCGGCGGCACCACCACTGCCCGTGAGCCCCACAGTACACATCCACCTTGCACACTTAACTCTGTTTTCCTCACAGCATATGGTTGGAAAACTGGGTTCCCGTCTGGTGGCGGCCAACCATGTTGGACGAATTGCGCCACTCTGGACAACACAGGAGCTCTGCTTGTCCATCTGCTCATTTCTGCTGCTGAGACGAGGGTCACATTCTCCAACATCAGCACTCGCTCCTCCTGCTCTTTCTTGACAGACGGCTGAGGTAGAGGAAGTCGACTCAGCGCATCCGCATTGCCATGATGTTTTCCGGGCTTGTAAACAATCTCGTACTCATACGCTCTCAAGGCAACTGCCCAACGTTGTATACGAGGTGAAGCCATTTGAGGCACAGCCTTCATCTCATTAAAAAGAGCCAGTAGCGGTTTGTGGTCCGTGCAAATGACAAACCTTCTTCCATATAAATATTTGTGGAAACGCTGAATGCCAAATATCACCGCCAGACCTTCTTTGTCCAGTTGGGAGTAGTTTAATTCAGCTGACGTTAATGTCCTAGACAGGAAGCTGATTGGTCGTTCCTGCCCATTTCCTCATGGCATAGGGCACGGCCCAGGGTTTATAGAACTTTGGACTCACCCCTTCTGTAATGTAAATTTTTGCTGGTGGACCTCTCCAAGTACCCAGTTCCTCCTTGAACACATCTTGATTTTTCCGTAGCACATACTGCAATGTTAACTCTTGCTGCTCCATCTTATTTATACTGACACAGTTAATTCCCAGCTCCTTTATCCATGCCCTGCCTAACAGGTTTGAACCTGGCCCTGTTACCACCACTACTGGTAGCTGTTTGACTTGGTCTTGGGACCTCACAGTCACCCTTGCCGCTCCTAGTGTTGGTACTTTTTCGCCCGTATAGCTTTTCAACGTCATTGAGCAGTCGTGCAACTCTTGGGTGTCCCCTGCGGTCCATAACTTGTCATATTCAGCCTTTGACAAAATCGTCACGCTACAGCCAGTATCCACTTCGAATTCCACAATGTTCTCATTTATGTTAAGCTGCGCAGTAATGGGATCGATTTTCGTTAACTTTGGCTCTGTTAGATTGTACATCGTAAATACATCTTCATCACTCGTGACATTTTGCACAGATTCACTTATGTGATGCGCCGACTGATTTTTATCGTTTCTAAACCTTCCAGACTGCTTGTGCTTCCCTCTTCCCTCCCCCTTAAGCCACTGGTCCGCCAGAGGCGAGGATTTGCACTCTCTTCAAATGTCCCTTTTTACCACAGCCATGGCACTTTTCATTGACAAAACGACAGTCTCTTGCCATATGTTCACCCCCACACCGGTAACATGTCAATGGTGTTGCTTTTCCTTGCCATTTATGGTTTGACTCCACATTATGCACTAGCAGTTGATTACTGACATTACTCCCGATGCCCTCCACAATTTTCAATTGCAAATCACGGACATCCCTATTTGCTGTCTCAATGGCCAGTGCCACTTTCAACGCTTTTTCAAATGTGAGCTCAGGCTCCGCCAACAATCTCCTCTGCATGCGATCGTCCGCTATGCCACACACGAGCCTGTCGCATAGCATCTCTTTTAACTTATCGCCATAGTTGCAATGTTGCGCGAGCTCTCGCAACACTGCCACGTACTCCATCACAGTTTCATTCACGGCTCTAGTCCCTGAATTAAACTTAAATCTTTGGACTATTTCACTGGGCTTTGGGTTATAATGCGACTGCAGCAGGTCCGTCAAATCTTTATATGATTTTTCGCCAGGCTTGTTCGGGCTCAATAAGTTCCTCATTAAACTGTATGTCCGACTGCCAACAGAGCTTAAGAATATTGCCCTCTTTTTTCCTCATCCTCAATCCCATTCGCCACGAAAAAATGTACCAATACCTCGACGTATTCCTCCCATGTTTGGGTCTGATTGTCAAAAGCAGTAAGTGTTCCTACCATCGCCGTAGCCATCTCGACGTTTTGGTTAGTGTTAGCTGCCTCGTCAATCCACTTCCGTCAAATTTCCGCGTGATTGACTCACAAGCTTCTTCCGAGCTCAACCGCCATCATCGTCGCCAAATGTAGTATCCTCAGTACTAATCAATAAACAGCAGACATCGAGGTAGCTTTATCTGGGAGTTTACTGAACACCGGACATCCATACAAACAGTGCCAGCCAGTACAAAACATGAGCCTGCAGATTCTTCCTCGGCTATATACCCCCTACTCCTTTGACTCTCCTCATCTACCACAAATATATAATGTCTGTGACATTTTAAAGATTAAGTTTATATAATATAACAATTAGGGATGCGCCGAAAGGAAAATTCTGGGCCGAAACCGAAAATTCTTGATGCATTTGCCCGAAACCCGAAACCGAAAATTACTTTTTTAAGTATTAATTTCTTATTTTAAATACTTTTTTGTATGATAGTATTGTTATTAGACTGTTATTAAACGAAATTTGCTATTTTCAGCCGATAATTTTCGGCGGCCTAAATTTCGGTGCATCCCTAACAACAATTATAAATACAAATAACTTGAAACTTTATATACAAAGCTAAATTATCTTTATGCTTATTAGGATTGACATTTCATCTCACTAGTTCTCACTAGTAGCTCTGAACAGCCATAATAATGCGTTACGGACTGTTAAGGACATATTAAATCATAAGGGCATATGACTATTTCTGTGATCCGTTTCAGGAATACCATATATCAGTGCATATC